ATACATATACATATACATATACATATACACAGAATACTGGCACTGTAGAATATATGGAGTACTGGCACTGGGCTGCTAACCACAAGCTCAGCAGTTCAAACCCACCAGTCTATCCTCGAAAACTCGATACCAGGTCAATATGATTCAGCATCGACTCGAGGGCACTTAACAACACCACACACACACACATATGTATATATTTTGTTTGTTTTTCAAAGAAAATTCAAAAAATACTTCCTTAGGGGTGCAAGAGTTAAAGGTAACAGTTATACACAATTCTGCAATAATGTCAATCTGCGAGTAGACACCTGGATAGACAAACAATGTGAGACTATACCCGTGAATATATAGAAAAATGACAGAGGATATTTCTACGTGTGTATTTGTATTTACCTCTGCTGCAAATATATTCATGAACGTGGTGGAGCATACAGAGGCAAAGTTACAAAAACTTCTTAGATATCACCAAATACCCAGAGGGAATGAGTCACTAAGCCTGCGGGGCTCAGGATGATAGTCTTGGGGAGACACCCTGGTCAACTGGGATTATATAGTTCACAAATACAATGTTCTTCCTCCTATGGTGGTGAGTAGCAACTGGGATCTTAAAAGCTCATGATTTCCCGCCCCCCCCCCAAAAAAAAAGGAGAAAAGCCAAAGAGGATAGAGAGAAACTGTTGACTGATGATGTATGGAGGGGATTGTAATCAATGTAATGAAACAAGTCATATGAATGTCTGAATGTGAAACTGATGATGTGCCCTGTAAACTTTCACTCAATCCACAATAAAAACCTTAAAAAAAATTTTTAAAAAAGCTCATGAGCACCTTTCTCCATCCCTAGCAGCTGCTGTTAGTTGGGGGTCATCAGATAACTAAGACAGGAAGATGGTGGCTGCAAAAAGATGGAAAATGCTGGAGTCAATCACTGTAGGCTCCAACTTATTTGGAAAAATGGAAAATACATGCTGGAATACAAGAAGACTCTGAAGAGGATCAGTCAAGGCAAAGTGAAACTGGTCGTCCTCCTCAACGGTTGTGGAAATCCGAGCTAGAGTACTACACCACGTTGTCCCAAACGGGTGTCCATCCCTACAGAGGCAATGTATTACTGAATATGGCCCAGTGTGCAGAAAATACTACAGAGTGTGAAGTCATTAGAAGTATGCCAGAACAGACTGGTGAAAAATCAATCATGCAATTTTTTTCTTCAATAAAACTGGCCAGAGCTTGTTTAAAAAAAGAAAAAGCTTGTGAGTAGCCATTTAAGGTGCAACTATTGGTTTCTCCCCATCTGGAGGAAAGAAAAGTGAAGAAAACTGAAGACACACAGAAACCTTTAGTCCAATGAACTAAGGGACCACATGAACATCAATCTCCATGATCCCTGAGACTAGAAGAACTAAATGGTGCTCAGCTACCACTACCAAGTGCTCTGAAAGAAATCATATTAGAAGGTCCCAGATAGAATGGGAGACAAATGTAGAACAAAACTCAAAATCAAAAAAAGTCCAGTCTTACTGGTCAGATAGTGACTGGTGGAACCCCAAGACTCTAGCCCTTAGTCACCCTACAATCTGAACTGAACCACCTCATTGATCAATTTTCAACCAAACAATAGAGGAACAATGACACTAAGGAAGTACATTAGAATCACCAACTATACAAGGTAAAAGGGCAGCATTTACCCAAAAGCAAAGTTCAGCAGGATTAAGAAAGAATGAAGATTAGAAACAAGAAACACAGGAAGTGGGTTAAGCAATATTACATAGTGGGCTTTGCAACCAATGACATGAAACAAACGGTGTAGGAATTATTGAATAGAAAGCTGATCTGCTTTGCAAACTTTCACCCAATTCACAATGAAAAGGGATTTTTTTTTAATTCCCTTATGTGCTCAGGTGTCTTAGAAGTGAAATGCCTTTGAAAAATGACATTCAACTGAGCAAAATCTGATTTATTGAAATGAAATCACAACTACAGTGAATGCAAAACTTACTTCCACACAAAAACCTGCAGATGAATCTTGATAACAGCTTTCTTCATACTTGCAAAACACTGGAAGCTACCAAGATGTGCTTCAATAAGTGAATAGACAAACAAACTGTAGTACATCCATCCATATATTGTTAAGTGCTGCCAAGTCGATTCTGACTCATAGCGGCCCTGCATGGGGTTTCCAAGGAGCAGCTGGTAGACTTGAACCACCAACCTTTAGCAATTCAGTGTTTATCTTATAGCTCCACACCAGGACTCCAGTACATCCATATGGTGGTGGTGGTGGTAGGCCTTCAAGTCGGTTCCAACTCATAGCGACCCTGCATAGGGTTTCTGAGCCTGTAAATCTTTACGGAAGCAGAAAGCCTCAACCTTCTCCCGCAAAACTGCTGGTAGTTTTGAGCTGCTGACCTTTCGGTTATCAGCCCGACTCATAACCACTACGCTATCAGAGTGGAATATTGTTCTGTAATAAAAAGAAATGATCTATCAAAACATGAAAAGACATTGAGGAACCTTACATGCATATTTCTAAGCGAAAGCAGCCAATCTGAAAAGGATGCATACTGAATGCTTCCAACTATGTGACATTCTGGAAAAGGCAACACTAGACAGACAATAAAAAGACCAATGGTTGCCAAGAGCTTGAAGCTCTGGGGGAGGGATGAATAGATAGCGCACAGGACATTTTTGGGGCAGTGAAACTATTCTGTCCACTATGATGGTGGATACATGACTATGCATTTGTCAAAATCCACAAAGAACGAATTTATGTAAACTACTGACTTCAATTAATATTGAATCAAAATTGGTTCAATTGCAATAAATGTAGCAGAAGAACGCAAGATGATAATAATAGGAGAAACTCGGGGAAAAGGAGTTCACAGATAGGACTTTAAAACAGGAGATTATCCTGGTAGGCCCGGGTAATCACAAGTGTCCTTTTATAAACGAGTCTGAGAAGCAAAGTGAAATGATTGCTGGCTTTAAAGATGAAGGAGAGCCACAAATCAAGGAATGCAGCATCCTCTAGAAGCTGGGAAAGCAAGGTACTAATGCCCCCTTAGAGCATCCAGAAGGGATGCAGCCCTGTAGACCCTTTTAGCCCAGTGTGAGATTTCTGACCTATAAAACTATAATGTTTGTTTTGTTTTAAGCCATAAATGTGTGGTAATTTGTTACAGCATCAACAGAAAATTCATGTTGTTTTTGTTATGTGCCATCGAGTCGGTTCCGACTCACTATATAGGGTTTCCGAGGAGCAGCTGGTAGATTTGAACTGCCAACGTTGCAGTTAGCAGTCCGGAGCTTATCCTAGAGCATCACACCAGGACTCCAGAATTGTGCCTGTTGCTGTTGTTGTTAAGTGCTGTCAAGTCAATTCCAAATTATAGTGACCCTGTACAGGGTTTCCAAAGAGCAGTTGGTGGGTTTGAAACGCTGACCTTGTAGTCCACATTCCAGTCATTCTCCTACAGCACCACAACTGCCTAGCACTCATTAAATACTCATTAAAGGTACATCTTTTTATCCCAATCCTGACATGTTGTTGTTGTTGTTAAGTGCAGTAGAGTTGGTTCCACCTCAGCAACCCTGTATAGGGTTTTGGAGGAACAGCTAGTAGGTTTGAACTGCTGACCTTGTGGTTCAGAGTCCAGTGCTGATCCTACAGCACCATGCTCGAAGTCCAGGTATCATCATCCAAATGTTCAGATGTGGATACAGAGACACAGAAAAGCTACATCCCTTGCCCAAGGTCACACAGCAATAACATAGCCGAGCAGGATTCAAACAGAATTCAAAGCCTGTGCCATTGAACCCTGAAGGCTAACACTGTGTAATTAGTGTCAGGGGCCAAAGTATAAAGAGCTCCCTGTGGGACCACAAAGAAATAGAACCACTGCCAGGAATGGGAACATGAAGTCTCACAGTAGGGGATGCTTTGTTAAGTCTTGAGGAGAAATTTTCTAGGTACAAAAGGATGGAGGGAGTTCTTTTCCACAATGAACTCCTTAGCCAAAAAGAAAATTAAGTTTATCCATCGACTCAAAAACCAGAGAAAACTTCCATTTATATGCTTTCTAAAAATATAACAATGAAGGGACAATTTCATAACCTGCCTTTCCTTAGCTTAATATATTTTCTCAACAGTTTATATTGACAAGTTATACAAGGATATATTATACACACTTGGAAAAACCTCTGGAGAGATCTTCTATAATTAATTACCTCTGGAGATTGGCATTTGAGGACCTGAGGGAGGGACTTAGATTTTACTCTATTTTTCATGTATGGGCATACATCTTTGTATTGTGCTTCACAAATACTGGTTTTTTTTTACAAATGGAAGGTTTATGGCAACACCACATCAAGCAAATCTACAGGTGCCGTTTTTCCCAGCATGAGCTCACTTTGTGTCTGTGCTACACTTTGGTCATTCTCCCATTATTTCAAACTTCTTCATCATGCTATTGCACATTTACTAGACTAAAATACAGTGTGAACATAACATTTACATGCACTGGAAAACCACAAACTTTGTGTGACTCCTTGTATTACACTATTCAATTTACTGTAGTGATCTGAACCTGGGCTATATGTATATACATCCATATTTTGTCACTTGACAATAAGCATGTGTTACAAAAATGTCTACTATTTCAAAGCAGTTGCTATTAAGTTGATCTCAACTCATGAAGATCCCATGTGTGTCAATATAGGACTAACTGCACTTCATAGGGTTTTCAGTGACAGACTTTTGGGAACTCTGAGTGCACTTGAACCTGCCACCTTTTGGTAAACAGCTGAACACGCTGACCATTTGCAACACCCGAGGACTCTACTTCTTTAAAGCCCTAATCAAAATTTAAAAACAAATGTTCATTGTACCCACAGGTGGTTCTCTCTGCTTGAAGAGAGAAGGACCAGTAAGGACTGGGTGGTAAGAGGAAGTCTCACAGAAATCACTCAAACTGAGCTGGTCTTGACACCCTCATGTCCAGGCTTGGGGCACAAACAGGGTTTCCCTTGGATTTGAACTGCTTCCTCCAGGTGGTAGGGTCCTATGCACTAAAGAGAAAACCTGGGCCATGGAGTAAGTGGATGGTGGTGATGGTTGTTAAGTCGGTTGAGTTGAGTCAGTTCCAACTCATAGTGACCCTGTATAGGGTTTCTGAGGAGTGGCTGGTGAGTTTGAACCGCCAACCTTGTGGTTCAAAATGCTTACCCTACAGCGCCACACCAAGACTCCAAGTGAGTGGAGAGGTCACTTTTTTGCATCTGCTCCCTTTCTATCTGGGTTTGACACTTTTATTCTACTGTCTAAATATGTGCATTTGTTTTTGTTTTTGTTTTTAATTAAAAAACACATTAAATTCTATATGGCAAAAGCAACACTTATATTATTGTCGAAAAATTTAAAGTACAGATAAGCAAAAATAAAATTATATTTCCAAATCACATAAAATCCCAGAGAAAACAAGAGTCAACAGTTTGTTATACAACCCCCAGATATTTTCCTGATGACACAGACTATGCCTTCATTTTTTTTTGTAGTTTAATAAAAAATAAGGTCATGCTTTACAAAATTTTTAGTAACTTTCTTTTTAACTTAATAAATCATATATATCTTTCTTACGAATCGGGCTGTGATCCACAAGGTCAGCAGTTCGAAACCACCAGCTGTTCCGTGGGAGAAAGATGAGACATTCTGCTCCCATAAAGAATTATAGCCTCGGAAACCCTGTATAGGGTCATTATGAGTCAGAACCGACTCCACGGCACACAACCACCACCACCATCTTTCTTGGTGATATTTTAAGGCATAAATATTAGAGACTAGGGATTACATTTCAGTTTGCTAATCATTCTCATTTTCAAAGTGATTTCCACTAATTTCTCATTCATTATCTCAACTTTTTATTATTGATTGAGCTGCAAATATTGTCAGATTACTACATTACCTACAATTCCCTGGCAATGTGGGATAAAGCATTGGACCACAAGGCCAGTTTGAACCACAAGGTGGTGGTTCAAATTCAACAGCTGCCCCTTGGAAACCCTATACAGGGTCGCTACTCTGTGGCTATTAACAACAACAACTTAACTCTAGCCTATTTTACCATCAGAGTCTTTGCAGTCCTAGGACTGGGCCAGACAGATATCATTATCTTCACAACACAACAGGAAACTGAAGTCCAGAGTGGTGAACTGGGTGGCATTAGGCAAGTCACTCACTTAGTCTGAGGCAGAGTAAGGGGCTGGCACCAAATGGTACACAGCCAGGGTGGAAGGCTGCTCTTGGATGGCGGCCATTCTCCCCCGCTTTTGTTCCCTCTCTGCCTGATCCATCACAATTCCATCTGAATGATTATAGCCTTTGTACATTCAGTTTCTCTTGGTTCCCTGGGTTTTCCTGACTTCCAACTTCCCCTGCCCATAGAACTTCTTCTTTCTTTTTTAACATTTTATTAGAGCTTGGGTGAAAGTTTATAGAGCAGATGACTTTCCCACTGAACAACTGATGCACATTTTGTTTTGTGACATTGGTTGTAATCCTCTAAATGTAGCAGCTCTCTCTCTTCCCACTTCCCCCACGGGTTCCCCACTTCCGTTTGTACTTCTTTCCTGTCCTTCCTGCCTTCTGAGCTTTGTTTTAGGGCAAATGCTGTCCTTTTGGCCTCGTAGGGTTGACTGTACTGAGGAGTACATTCCTCCCTGGTGGGATTATTCACTTTATAGGCCTACTGTTGGGCTGGAAGTTGATCCCCAGGGTGGGTTCATTCCTAGGCTGAAGGGTGTCTAAGGACCATGGTCTCAGGTTCCACAAGTCTCTGTCACACCAGTAAGTCGGGTCTTTCTTTTATGATTTTGGATTTTTGTTTTTTCCCCCTTTCTGTCCAGATCTCCTTTTGTGATCCTGAGCCACGCAGTGGGTCCCTTAACCGGATACCATCTAGTTCTTCTGCTAGTGGAGAGTGAGGTTTGTGGTCCATTAGTCCTTTGGACTAACTGCTTTCTTGAGTCTTTTATTTTCTTCACTCTTCTTT